GGGCCAGTGACACTTCCCTCTACAGCTAAGATGCTGAACAACAGCTCAACCTGGAGCTGGGCTGCCGTGAGTCGCCGGCAACGGCGTAGGCTTCAGCCCCTGCTGCAGTGGGTTGCCATGGGCTGCCGTGTGTGGCCAGCAGCCAGCGTGAGCAGCCAGCAGCCGCCGTCCAGAAGCCAGCAACTGATCTGCCTCACCCAGGAAGAGCGCAATGATGGTGCCAACTTGGGCCAGTGAAGCAACGCCCTCCACAACTAGACTGAAGAACAAAAGGACAGCAACTTGTCTGTTCCCCTTCCCTCAATTCCCCAGTGCTGCTCCCATCCCCTAATTCCCCAATTAAAAAAATAAAAATCTTAAAAGAAGGTTGGGAGTGAGCCATGTGGTTTCCTGGCAGAAGAGCCTTCCTGACTGTGAGCAGCATGTACAAAGCTCCTAAGACTTGAATATTCCTGCTGTGTTCATGGATTGAAGCTTTTGCTCTGAGTTAAAAGGTTGCCATTGCAAGGTTTTGAAGAAAGACATGACATGAGTTTACATGAGTTTTAAATTATTCCTGCATTCAGTTGAGAACAGACCACCACAGGACACAGAGAGAAGCTACCGCTGCATTAAGAGGCCATTGCATTCCTACAAAGGATGAAAAGTGCCCTGCACCTGGACAGTAAGAGAGACAGGGGAAGGACATAGATTTTGCATGCAGGCTGAAGGGGTGGCAACAGGATTTCCAGATGCATAGGATTTGGGTGGGAAAACAAGACTCCAGGTGTTTGGGACCTGAGCACCTGGAGGAATAAAGGTGGCTCAGCTGAGATATAGAGGGCTGAGGGGCAATTCAGGATGTGTTAACTATGTGTTTACTATGTACATGTTAACTGTGAGATACTGATTTCCATCCAAAGAAAAATGTGTGTGGACAGTTGACCATGCAAATTCAGAATTCAGGGGAAAGCACTGGGCCCCAGATGTAAATATGAGAATTGTAGATGCACAGATGGCAGAGTGTTTGCAATTCCCTGCTCATCTCAACACTCTGATGCCTCTTCTCTCTTCCTTCTCTGTGTCCTCCACTCCTTCCTCCAAGATTCATTCATATTTTCCCTCTTTTTGTGTCAGCAGTTCAGCTTCCTACCCTTAATCTTCTTCTCCAGACTTAAAACCCAAACCACTTGATGTTCTTGTCACTAAAGGACCTGCCCTGTGACAGCATGTGGCCTCCTGAGAGGCACCTGTAGTTACAAACAGTGTTAAGTGGTGGGTTTCACCAGCTCACACTCTGCAAAGACGAGCCACACATTTTCTTTCTCAGGAGAAACTAAGAAATAGAAAAGAACACAGGATTTATGTGTGGTGCCACAGCTGTCTCCTCCTCTGATTTACACATTTTGTTGTTTTTTTCCCTGTGCTTTTGGTGTCACAGGCAAATATAAACTCATAAAGAGCTTCATTTGTGGACTTTTTAAAAGAATTTTATAATTTCAGCTCTTATATTTAGGTCTTTGATTCATGTAGTGTTGATTTTTTATGAGATGGAAGATAAGGGTTCAACTTCATTCTTTTGCATGTGGCTATTCCAGCATCGTGTGTTGAAACACTGTCCTTTCCCCATTGAATGGCCTTGGCATCTTTGTTGAAAATCATTTGACCATATATATGTGAAGCCTTATTTCTAGGTTTTCTATTCTATTCCATACACACACACACACACACACACACACACACACACACACGACAACACACTACTTTGATTGCAATAGCTTTGTAGTAACTTTTTTTTTTTAAGATTTTTATTGGGAAATTGGGGGGGTGGGAACAGTGCTGGGGAATTGGGGNAAAGCAGCAGTGTTGGTATCATTTGGGATCTTCTGTTATATAAAAACTGTTTTCAATTTTTTATTAAGTTTTGCTTTTTCCATTTATGCCTTTGATCTAGCTATATTGTGTGTGTGTGTGTGTGTGTGTGTGTGTGTGTGTGTGTGTGTGTGTGTGTGTGTGTGGTTTAGGAGGTAAAGATCATTTTTCTTCTTCCACAAGGATAAATTATCCAGCCCTCAAAGATCCACACTGCCACCTTTGTCATATATCAAGTTTCCATAAATACGTGGTTCTTTTTATAAGTTTTCTGTTCCATTGAGCTACTTGTCTGGCTCTCTGTCAGAGCTACCCTGTCTTAGGTAGCTCTATAATAAGTTTACATAGCTCTTTTGGGCGAATATTCTCACCTTTTTTTGTTATACAAAATTGTGTGCTATTTTTGACCCAAGTGCATTTTAGAATTACTTTGTCAAGTTCTATAAAAATCTCTTTTGTAATTATTATTTGATTGCATTGAACTTATATATTATTTTGGGCTAACCAATATCTTTCCATATTTAGTTTTCTCCCTCATGTACATGATAGAACTTTATTTCAGTTATATGATTTTCAATTAACAATTTCACAGGGTTCATTCAACTTATGATGGTCTTTAGCACCTCCAATGGAGCTATCTTTAACACTTTTTAGTTTATGGAATTTAAAACATTATTTTTACTGTTATCAGTGGATTTTAACAACAATTTAGGTTTCTAATTGAATTGTGATCATCAGTCTTATTACCAACAACTTTATAAAACTCTTACTAATGCTAATAGTATGGACACTTTTTATTTGCAACAGGTATAATGTTAATTATCTACAATTGGTTTCTGCCTTTATCAGCGTAACATAACCACACAGCTAAATAGTCAAATAGTTCTACATATGAAAACTGGAGTCTTTCTAACCTCCCACCATTTTCCCCTTCCTAGAGACAACCATTTTCAGCTCTTTTATCTGATTTTTTGAATTTTACTGCCACATCTCTTGTATTGCATTCTTGATTTCTCACGCTTAAGTATTACAACAGAAGATGGAGATATAATGTTCTGCTGCTCCTGACCTCATGCCACACATGCCTGCTTTCTATTCCTCATCCCTGATATTATTAAATTATGATTTTGGATAACTGAATAGTCAGTGTCTACATTATAATGACTACGAGATTGGTATTTAAAGCTGAATCTTGTAGCATTCCGAGATTTCTCATGGTGATGTCTCACGTGCATATCTGTGTCACCAGCACCATGACCAGGATGCTGAACATTTCCATAACCTGTGCTCTCCCTTTACAGTGACCCCATCTCCACCATACTGAACCCTTTGCAAAAGTCAATCTGCTCTTTTACATAATTTTGACAATGTAATATATGAGGAATAATACAGTATGGGACATGTTTAGATTGTTTTTTTCACTTGACATAATGCCTTTGAGAAAACTACAAGTTGTTGCACATGTAAATAATTCATTCCTTTTTGTTGTTGAGTATTTTCTTATACAGATGCATCACAGTTTGTTTAACGATTCACTAATTGGATATTAAGGTTGTGCCTGGTTTCTGCTATTACAAAGAGAACAGCTATAAACATTCATGCACAGGTTCTTGTGTGGACATAAATTTTATTTCTCTGAGATAAACGCCTGTGAGTGTAATTGCTGGATCATATAACTCACTTCCTCTTCTGAAAGAAACCAGGATATGATTCCTTTTGTTGGATGCAGGCACTTAAAATTCTGATTCACTACACTTGCATTTGGGCTAAGTTTTATGAGATTCATCAATAAGGGGTTAGAATAAGGAGTCATTTCAGGGACAGACTTGGTTCCCTCCAACGCTGAGCCCAGGTTTTTCTTTCTTCCTCCATCTGAGTAGTTCTTGGTGACACTGGTGTAGATGAGGCCATAAGCCGACCACATCCAAGGGTCCTGGGCTTGAGAGTTGGGGACACAGCCAGAGACCACAGACCCTTCCTGGCCTAGGGTCCCAAATCGGGGTCCCTGTGAAGACCTCAGATGGGGTGAGGGGCTCAGTAGAGAACTGAGGCCCCAGGCAGGGAGGAAGTACTATTTCCTGTGAGCCTGTCCAAGTCTCTCTGAAACCATTAAGATGAGTAACACGTCACAGCATAGCTGCCTTCACTGCTTGGTTCTATTTCACAATCTAGAAGCAGGAACTGTCCAAATCTAGAATCAGGCAACTGTCTCACAGCCATTTCAGCCCATCCTAGACACTTCCTCTTACATCACAGGAGGCGGGGTTTCACTCCTCTCACAGAGCAGAGAGTCGGGGTTCTCCCCGACACATGTGGACAGAACTGCCTGCTCAGGCCACCAGGATGACCACCCCTGCCTCCTGGCCACACCCTCCTCCTTGCCTGCTGCTGACTCTACTGCTGGGACTCACAGGTGAGCACTCCTTGGGTTACAATTCCCTCCCCCTGCCCCTGAATCACCTCCTCTCCCCCTGGAATTTTAGAGCCTCCAGGAAAACAGGGGTGTGTCATTCAGGGCTGCCACAGAAGGCCAACAACTATGCATTATTTGAGAGCCTGAAATCGGGGATGTGAGCATTGTCTCCATGAACTGCACTGATTACCAGACACATCAAAACAGATGATGCTTCAAACCACAACAGCAACAACGTTGTGTGGACTGACTCATCTAATCCCCACAACATCCCTGTGTGATACTTATGTCTCTTATCCCCAGTATACAGATGAGGAAACTGAGACAGAGAGAGTAACTTTCCAATGTCACCTATGTAAGGCAGTGGGTTAGCCAGGATTCAAGCCCAGGCTGACCAGCTCCACAGGTCATTTTTTAGCTATGTTATACCACTCGGGTTCTCGGTGGAGAGTGAGTGTAGAAAAATCAAAAAACACAAATAAGAAAATAAAAGAATTGTCACCACCCATCAGATCACTCACAGACACCAGAGTTCAAATGGTGCTGTGTGTACTCGTGAACCTTTATTAATGATGTGTTGGATAATTCCTATGTATCATTGTTTTTGCTGAGCATTTAATATGTATTATAATTTCACTTAATCCTTAAAACAACCTGCATGCTAGCATGCTACAATACAGTTTTATAGATATTTTCAATGCATGTATTTATACGTGTGTATGTATGAGTGTAGTGAGTGTGAGGAAATGCACACACACACACACACACACACACACACACGGGATATTTGAAAAGGCATTCCAATTGTTCTCTTCAAATCATTTTTCAGTCTACATGAAACGCACCAGGACGTATGTTTAGTTCCCCTGTTTCTCAGCCACCCTCCCTCCTCTTACTTGTGTAATTTTACCCCTACCCTCCCTCAGACTCAAGACAAGCAAGCTTCGCTCTTGGTAAAATGAGCTGAATTCTGTGCATTACTATCTTGGAACCCCTCTTTCATGGAGGATAGAGATGAGGAGGAAAGAAGGAGATAAAAGATACAGGGACTGCTGCATGTATGAGCTATATCTGTAGTTACATCAATATTCATGTTCATATCTATATCCATATCTGTATCATCTAATGTCAGTTAAAACCTCAAGGCTCCAAAAGTATAATGAGTAATATCTTTTCAATTTCTTGAAACTCACCTTGTGCAGACATGATTGGAAATGCTCAGGGCTGTTATCTCATTTGACCATTGTATCCAAGGTAGATCCTCTTGTCACTCCCACTTACAGGAAAGAACACAGAAGCACAGAGAGGTTCAAGCTCACCCAATGGTAAATGGTACAGGTAGGATTTGAACTCATGGACTCTGATCCTACAGCTCAGGGGTTGAACAATTACCCCATTTCCATCCCATGTGATTTCTGCTGCTTCTGCAAATGGATGTGAGGAAGGTGGGTGTGGGGAGAGTGTTTGTGGTTTTCTGCTCCTGGGCTCTTCTGCTTCCTGCATCTACACAAGATGCTTGTTTTTCACAAAGTCATTTAGTTGGGAAACTCAGTTTCTCACAAAATTTCCACAGATTTACCCATTTAAAATTGTCTTTGGGGTCTCAGGGAGGTGTTGCACTGGGCAATTCACACATGATACAAATACTTATTGGATACCTACTATGTGCCAGTAACTATCATAGGAACTTGGGGTGTGTTGGTGAATAAAAGAGACAAAGTAGCTGCCCGAATGGAGCCCATGTCCCACAGGGAAAGTCAGAGGAAACAAGAGACATAATAAATAAGTATATAATATATTGTAGTATATTGGAAAGTAATGCGTGTTAATAAGAATGTTAAGGTATCACTGGATAAGAAAATTGGGGAATCTGTAAGGTGGGATGTATTTTGAACAGAGTAGTTGAGTGAGCATCACTTTGAAGGGGAAGTTTGAGCCAAGATTAAAAGAAGGTTAGGGACCGGCTGAGTGGCGCATTGGTTAAGAACTGGCTTGGGACGCCAGAGGGTCCCGGTTCAGATCCCACATATGAGGGCCAGTGACACTTCCCTCTACAGCTAAGATGCTGAACAACAGCTCAACCTGGAGCTGGGCTGCCGTGAGTCG